TTTAGAAGACATTGTTCATTGTATCCTATAGAGCAACTCATAGATCCAAACTGTGAACCTTTTAGTTAGCAGCCTAATACATTATGCCCTATGTCAGAGAGCTGGACAATGACTAAAGATGACAGAATAAGAATCTCTGCCTTTGAGTTGTGGTGATGGAGATGAGTCTTGAGCATACCATGAACCACCAAGAAAATAAATAGATCTGTCTTGAAGAGGGTGAAACCAATTTTCTCCTTGGAGGCTAGGATTTTGAAGCTCCAGTTCACATACTTTGGGCATCCGGCAAGGAGGGACCAGTCCTAGGAGAAGGACATCATGCTCGGAAATGTGGAGGGACAGTACAGGAAAGGAAGGCCCCGGATGAGATGGATTGATACAGTAACTGGGGAAATGGGGCTTGGTGTGTCTGAATCAGTAATACTGGCGCAGGACAGGGCAGGCTCCAAAGCTGCTGTACATAGAGTTGCTAAGGGTCACAGATGACTTAATGGTGCATAACAACAACATCAGGTCAGATTATTTCCTTTCAATTTCTTTATGTTATTACTTTCAATTTCTTCATTTCAGTCCCTTTTTGGGGGAAGAAAGTCACCTGAAGAAATGCATGATTATGTAATTTACAACAAAGTCTCATATAAGAATAATACCTATAAATGCCAAAATATTTGGGGAAAGAGTTAAGTATTAATTTATAGTCACTCCTTTGGTTTACATTCAACACAAAATAAATTTGAAAGTTGGTTAATATAATGCTTAAATTAAGAAAAAAAAATCACATTCCTGGAAGTGTCTCCGGAATTCCCTGTGATTTAAGACAAAAACCACGATTTATAGTACTTTTCATGTGTCTTGGGTACAGTTAGAATGTAGGGAAGGAAAGAGGGAGACATGTTATTTTGACATTAAAAGAATCGAACGAATCTGCAAGTTTGTATTTTAAGCTACATGGCTAGAAGAAGAGAGTAGATTTTTAGAAATTAAAAACACCCAGTGAAATGATCTGCATCAATGATAATGGAAATGAACATGAAAAAGAGCTGACCATGAGATATTAGTTTTCGTGGCCTAGTAGATAGGAAGTTGTGCTGCCAACTCAAAAGACAGGAGGTTCAAATCCACCAGTTTCAATCTCCTCCTGTATAATTAAAAGCTCCTTAAAATCCACGTAAAGGTCAACTATGAGTTTGTTCCACTTGACGGCACGTAAAAAGAACAGATTCAACCTGGAGAGGGTTAAACCAGGCTGCTCCTTTGAGGCAAGGATTCTTAAGCTTCGTCTGACATACTTTGGACATGTTACAAGGAGGGACAGGTCCTTGAAGGATGTCATGCTTGGGAGGGTGGAGGGACAGTGCAAGAGATAAAGACCCTCTATGAGGTTGGTTGATTCAGTGACTGGGATAATTAGGGTGAGGTGTCAGAGACAGTGGGATTGGAACAGGACAGAGCAGGGTTTAGGGCTGTTTTACATAGGATCACTATAAGTCACAGGGGACTCGATGGCACATAACAACACCACCACCACTCTAACATATTTTGTAATGAACCCTGATGGAAGGAACAATGACTAAGTCCTTGGATGCTAATCTAAAGACTGATTGTTTGACTCTCCTTGTTGTTCCATGGAATAAAGAAGTGATCATCTATTCCTACAAAAGGAAGCACTGCTGATTTAGTGGTAAGGATTTTTTCTGTCAACCGAAAAGAAAATATTTCAAATCTGCCAACTGTTCCAGGGGAGAAAGATTGGCAATCTCCTCCCTTGTGGATTACTGTCTGAAAACCAGCTGGAGCTTTGCACTGAGTTGGTTCCCTCTCGACAGTAGGTAACAACAGTGCTGTCAAAATTAACAGCTTTTGATGCCCTGTGTGGTAATTTTTCCCTTCCTTAGTTTGTTTTACAAGTCAGAATCTTGAAAGATAACTATTTTGGGGAACAAGAGATAATTAGGACAATGACCTCATTATACCTTTGAGTGATGACCACAGAGGTAACACAGAGTGAAACCCTGTGGACATGAGTAGGGGTAACTGCAGTTTCATCTTATCTCTTATATCCTAACATTTCATTTTTGCAAACTTCAAATTTATAGACTGTATTTATATTATTATTGTAATATTAAGGTACAATTAAACATGTATTAATAATTTGCATATATTTATGAGTATTGTTACAATTAAATTAGGATAATCTCAGTTGTCAATTTCCTACTAGTATTTTTTTTATTTCAAAAGACTTAAATAATTTTCTAAAATTTTAATCTTCATTTAGAGATTTCCTTCAAAGTGTTCTGAAATGAATACACAAAGGAAATGAAATGTGGTTGATATTTAATTACTGAAAACAAGCTTGAAGAAGAGTGCTTTATTAAAGGCATCATGAATATGACTTTGTTGTGATGATATTCTGTTAATGATTTAATTCATTCATAATTCTCCAGAACTTAGTGTAGTTAATTTCACTCTATTCACTATTTTAAAAAACAAAAATACATGACGGTATTTGTGTTACATCAGGAGTTGCTCTAACTCAAACATGGAGGCCCTCTGGCAAGTTTAAATCCACCAGTTGCTCAGAGAAAAAAAGATGGAAAATCTCATCCTTTGTGATTTATAGCCTCTGGAAACTGGAAGTTAGCTATAAGTCAGTTCTAATATGACAGCAATGAGAATGAGTTGTGTAAAGATTGTCTCTGCATTTGAAAAAACAAAACAAAACAAAACAAAAAAATCATATTTTGACTTTTTAAAAATTATGAGCACATTTTAGAAAACTCAAAACCCATTGCCATTGAATGAGAACAAATTCATAATTGATCTTCCATTGGGCAAACTGACGGTACATTTTTTTTTTCAGAGGCTATATATTGCGTAGGGGGAGATTGTCCATTTTTTACCCATGCAATAGTTAATTATGATCTTTTGACTTCCCTAATATGGTTCTGTGCAGTCTGTGAGATTTCACGTTGAATTTTGGACCCAGGAAAGCAGTAAAAGTGGTGTCAAGATGAGTAGAAAATTGTATGGGAGCATGGGGGACATGTCTGACCTCATGGGAATTTGTTTTGTGTTACTGATGATATGGACAAGGACAGTTCCCCTGTGTGAGGTTGGTACAGATTAGATATGGCATCCCCACATGGCTCTTACTCTTTTTACATGTGTCAGGGTTAGTGAGACTGGCTTAGGATAGGGCAGGGATCAGAGCTACTGAGCAAGGGTCAAAATGAGTTATAGGCAACTTGAGAGCACATAACAATGGCTAATACACTTAATGCTGATCTTTTAGACTAATTCTATTGACATATCACCTATATTTCAACTTTGGAATAAGAATTAGAACAGTGAAATGATGCCTCAGTATGTGCATTGTTGTTGCCGTTGTTGCTGTTGCCATGTGCTATCAAGTTGACTATGATAAGTTGACAACCTATGAACAAAGGCTCTGAACTGTGCCCTGTCTTGAGCCTACCCCATCATCTTTGACACACTTGATCAGATTACCTCTATCACTGTGTCAATCCATCTCACCCATGGAATGATGATGATAATGATGTTCAGAGTCTTATAAACACCAGAAAACATTTGAAAAATAAAGAATAAATATAACATTATGTTTAGTCAAATTACCAAAAAAATTAAGTAATTAATGATGTTCTAGATTCTTGAAAAAGAGTCATTTCAATGAGAGTTAAGTTAGTATCACTTTTTAAATAAATTATACTGAGACTTGAACTGAATATAGATAATTATATTCCTGGAGATGAAAACTATAAATGTGCATACAAGGACTGCTGACAAACCATTTTATTGGCACCTCTTATAATATGATGTGAATGAAATCTAGAAACCACAAGATAATTCAGGGAAAATGACAAGAACATTCATCAACTCTAACATGCTAAAAATATTAGTGAATTTATTAATACCATCACAAATGAAGTTTATAGTTTACTATCTCCAGATGTTCACAAAATGTACCAAAGTTACATCTTTTTCCAAATACAGCCTACGTAAATAACATCCACACTACCGTTTCACATTCTTGCTAAAGTAGGCCTATTGAAATAAATTGGAATAAACTTGCATACAAATGCCTGTAATAAGTAGGGAAATTTAACTAGAATGTGAAACAGGCCTGTGGTTTGTGACTGGTTCAGAATATTTATCATCAGCTGGAAATCGGCCTTTCAAAAGCATGCATGCATTTACATTCTAACACACTGTTTATCTCAATTCAAAAGATCACTTATTAAAGCTTATCCATGTATTTGCTTATTTGCAACTGCTTATTAAAGGAGATGAATATCAACATTAAGCATTTTTTTTTAGTGCTTGAAAACATGTCCTAAAATAAACCTCACTCTCATTGGAAATTCTTATTTCACTTTTACAAGGTTTACCTGCATAATCAAACACCATAGATTTGTGCATTTGACCTTTGTCATCCCATTTATCAGACTATTAACTCAGTCTCACATCCATTTTTAAAAGGTTAGCATTTCTTTTGTGATGCATACTCCCAATTAAAATGAATAATACACAAATGCAGACAATGAAGTTTCTGCTCTTTGCTAGTCCTGATTTTAAGAGCCTCTTGGATTAGAAATTGTCTAAAAGGCTTATTTAGAAATTACAATTTTCTGTGTTTTGGGGTACTAATAAAAATAATTGTTATTACTATAGAAAAACTAAAAAATATTATTTTGTGTGTGCTTTTTAACACAAGGAACAAATCCATATATTACAGCAGGTTTGGGGTTTTTTTTAAATTTAATTATTCCAAGCATTAGCATTGGTGGTTTATCATTAATATACTAATAATATGTCTTTCACAAAACATATTTTTAGCAAGGTTTTATATGATCTGATTGATCCACATCATAAAAATAGCCTTAGATGAATATCATCTTACTGTATAAGAGCATAGATTAATTTTTTTTAAGAAAATTACTTAGTGTCACAATTAAAGCTGAATCCAGAACAGTTGACCTTACTTTTATATTCCAGATGAAAGCCAGCAGCTGCCACACTAATATCAGATTGAAAATGTAAGTAGAGTTGATTGGAAGTGCTGTTTAGCAATGCTGGCACAGTAGTACCTGTAAGACACAATGCAGACAAAACTTTAACATTATAACTAAATTTACTTCTCAAAATAAAAACTGTATGATGCTGTCTATGTAGACTTACAAATATTTATACTTCGATAAGGACATATTGAATATTGGTATTGGATTTGATCATTATAGATTTGATCATTTCTTTTGTTCTAGGGAGAGTCCATGTGTAGTATAAATTGATTAAAGGTGTAAATACTAACAGAAAGGTTGCCAGTTCAAGGCCACATAAAGACAGCATGGAGGAAAAGTCTAGAGATTTACACTTGAAAGGTCAGTTTTGAAAATCAAGTGGAACATAGTTCTATCACGTATAGATGGAGTTGTTGTTAATTGAGATCATCAATTAGACAGCAGTTTCTAAAACCGATCATTATTTTATGTACAATAAAATGAGACTCCTACTGTTTACTGTTCTCTTCAAACAGAAGATTTTGAAAACTTATATGATGTTAGGCCACCAGAGTTCCTTTATGAATAAAGAAAGTCTTAAATTTCCAGAATGTATTTTGCTCTTTATATTGCTTTCTTTCAACATTATAATAATATCCTTTCCACCACCACCCCCATTCAAAATGAGTAAAGAGGGAACAAAATCTAAGACCTAAGCATTATTTGGTCCGAGAACAGTCAGGCTGGGTAGCTGCTTATCCTGTTTATTTTCCTTATCATATTTCTTTCTACTGTGTTTTTACTTGTCTACTCCTGTGCAATTCATATTAATAATGTTCCTTACTGAGATCAGCACATTATTTCAACTAAAATATATGAAAAAGAAAATATAAGTTGATGTTTTCTTATTGTAACCTTCATTTAAAATATTTTTTTAATTTAATTTTAATTTTTTTTTTTTTGGTGTGTATCGTCAAATCAGATCTGACTGGTACAGGAAGAGATTGCCCTTCCTTCTCCAGCACAGCACCTGGTGTATTTGAACCGGGTACTTCTGGGATTGCAGTGCAGCTTCTTGCCACTAGGCCACCAGAGCTCTCTACATTTAAGATATTTTAACTTATATCTTAAATCAACACCTGCACCCATCTGGAAGGAGACTTCCCATCTTCTAAGGTGCTAAGCCTCAAGAAGTCTTGTGTTATATGAACTCTTATAACAACAAATCGTAGGGAGAAACAGAGCCATTGAAGACAAGGTTAAGAAAGACAAAGAAGATATGTTGAGGTAAAGGAAAAATGATCATGAGTTAAAAGTTTAATAAATTTTGAAGAATGTATTTTTAAAAAGGAAGATAAAGAGTTTAGAATTTTTAATTCTTCCCTAAAGTTAAAGTCTCAAGATACATTTAATACTCCAGAATATTACTTAATTAATTAAAATATGAATTAATATTTAATATTTAGAATGTTAAAATTTGTCTCCAAGTAAGAATTTTCCACCTACAAGGTGACCAATTATTAAGGAACTCTACTGCCAACCATAAGACTTGTGGTTTGGATCCAGCAGCTGCATCACTGGAGAAAGACAAGCAATCTCCTCCCATGTAATTTATTACCTCTAAAATCCCACTGGAGTGTCAGATATATGTTGGTTCTAACTTGACAGCACATAACACCACGACACTGTCAAAAATACATGTATAGTTTAAACATGCCATGGTCTAATTAATAGAGCAAATTGCCTTGAAAATAATTCTAATGAATAAAAAAATACTTTAATAATATCATAAAGACACAAATTGATGATTACTCTAAACAGATAAACATGATTGAAAAAAGATCCTCCTCTTTCACTCTCTGTGTAAGTGATAAAATAACATCTAATGACCTTAATTAAATAGATGATTGCAAGCAAAGATTCCTACTGTCTCTTCACAATCCCTGGCTATCCAAAGACTATTTAAACTTGATGTGTAATAAGCTAACTTTATAATTTGTCACTACAAATCCTCCTCATTGTCTGTCTCACCCCAAAACGTTGTTCGTGTTCAACTATGATTCCATCTCACTCAAAAAATTTCTCTCCCTACCCCATGCTGTAGTGAGCTTTCCAGTGGACTCCCACTGAGAGTACAACTGTTCCATAAGGTTTACCATAAGACCACTTTTCACTTATTTGCCTTCTGAGAATCACTGAAGTTGCTGGCTATTTTTTTTTCTTCTCAGTCTTCACCTTCAATATTGATACTACCATAGTCGCTTATTTTTATAATGATATTTACTATATCTGAATACAAATATGATATTTCTTCTTTTTTTTTAATGATCCAACTCAAGGATTTATTCATCACAAACACCTTTTAAAAAAAAACCAAAACACACAAATGGCAACTTTACGCCTGGGCCTCACCTGATGGCCTGTATAGAAATTAGGTTGACTACATCTGTGGAAGGAATTATGGAGAAGTTCAATATCAGCAATCAAAACCAGGCCAAAGGCACAGATCATTAATTATTCATGTGCAAGTTCAAATGGAGGCTGATGAAATGAAAACAATACCACAAGAACCAAAATATGATCTTGAGTCTATTCCACCTGAATCATCTTAAGAATAATTTGACCATTGTTGCCTGGTAACATTGTTCTAAAAGCAAATGAAGACAAAGAGGGACTCAGACACTGAAGAGATATAAGTGTGAGAAGACAGGATGGACATGGGGAGATACCAATGTCCTCAATCAAGTTGCATGTAAATTGTTGAATGGAAAACGAATTTGCTGTGTTAACTTTTGTTTCATTTATTAAACAATATTTAATGCTAGGGAGTTGTAGGATTGAGCAGGTGATCATTCTTTTGTACATAGGGTGACTAAGATTTGACAACACCTACAACACACACACACTTGACTGTGTGAGTCACAATAAACTTAGACTAATATTGAGAAGAAAGGGAATCGCTAAACACTTAATTTTACATAAGCAAAACCTATACTGAGACCAGGTATCTGTTGTCCAAACTGAGCAAGGGGGAAAAAAATGCATTATTTAAAATCAAGAAAATGCATCAGGAATATATCCTTTCTCCATACCTTTTTATTCTACATACTCAACAGATCACTTTGGAGACTGTACTTTATGAAGAAGATTATGGTATCAAGATTAGAGGAAAACTCATCAACAGCTTGTATTACACAGATGAAACAACCTTGTTTGCTGAAACTGGGGAGAAATTTAAACATTTGCTTCAAATCAAGGATTGCAGCCTTCTGTGTGTATTGACATTCCACATCAACAAAACAAAGATCCTCACAACCAGTCCAATGGACAGTATCATTACAGACAGAGTAAAGATTAAATTGTTGACTATTTCATCGTGCTCAGATCCACAATCAAGACCCGCAGTCCAGCAATCAAAGTACAAGTTACATTGGGAAACTCTGCTGTCAAGGACTTCTCCAGAATGCTAGCCTGCAATATGTCAGTCTGGAGACTAAGGTTAGCCTAATACAGGCTACGGTCTGCTTTTTGTCTGATGTGCCTCTGAGAACTAGACAGTGACCAAGGATAACAGAGGAAGAATGAATGTCTTTGAGTTGTAGTGCTAGAGAAGAGTATTGTATAAACCATGTACTGTCAAGGAAACAAACAGTTCTGTCCTGGAGAGGATGAAACGAGGTTGTACATTGAAGGCAAGATTTTTGAAACTCTATCTCACAGACTTTGACTATGTTATCAGGAGGGACCAGCCCTCGAAGAAAGACATCATGTTTGGAAAGGTAGAAGGTCAGTGCAGGCAAGAAAGATCTTGGATGAGATGAATTGGAATGGGAACCGTAGCAATGGGGTCAGGTTGTGTCAGAGATGATGAGATTGGCTCAGTATAGGACAAGGATCAGAGCCATAGTTTATAGAATCAGAACGAGTCATAATACTAAATAACAACTTTTTCCAAAAGTCTAGCACTTAACGATTGTTCTACCAGAAGTCCTCCTAAACTCATAAAAAGAACCTAAAACAAAAAAACTATTTGTGTTTCTGCTATTGAACTAATTCTGAGTTACAGCAATCCTCCAGCAAGTTTTCAAGATTATTCATCTTTACAGGAAGAGATTGCCAAACTTTCTACCTTGGAGTGAGTGGATTTGAATTGACAACCTTTGTGTTAGAAGCCCAGCATGTGTAGGATTATGCAACTCAGTGCCTCTACTATCCACATGCTTGTAAAAGGAGAAATAACAATGTGGAGATGGTTGAGTCTAACCTCTACTAACTCCACAAAGTGGAATTGCCCCAATTAACAATATTTGAAATCCTATAAAGTCATTGTTTGTGTCTTTTATAAAAGATATTGGCAGTGAATTTATCATTGAAAATACAAAACTTGCTCATTCTATTTCCAGCCTCATTTTTATCACCAAACCCATATTTTCCAATTACTATTCCTTCTTCACTGTCCCCAACTTTTGCACTCCAGTCACCAATTATCATTAACACATCTTGATTGGATGTTTGCTCAATTTCTGGATGCAAGGTTTGGTAAAAAATTTCCAATTTCTTCCTCTTTGGCTTTAGGTGGAGGAGCACATATTTGAATAATAGTCGCATTAATGGGCCAACCTTGTTGGTATATGGATAATATCTTATTACTCACAACATTGTATTTCAGGGAAGACCCTGAAATTCACTCTTTAACTGTGAATGCAACACCATTCTTCTTTTGTTTTTCATTCCCAGCATAGTAAACTATACAAACATGTGATTCAAAGTTGCCAAAGCTAGTCCATCTCATCGTACTAATATCTAGCCATTCATTTTTCAAAATTTCTAATTTTACAACATTCAAGCTATGTGCATTCCATAATCCAATTATTAAAGGATGTTCACCATTATTTTTCCTTATTTTGACTGATTTCCAATCTGGAATCTACCACTAATAGTATCCATGTTCCTCTACTGTTCATAGGGTTTTCAGAAAATGTCTGTTGTTTGGAAGGCAATCTGGCTTCCTAATCTATCTTAATCAAAGAGCTCTACTAAAACCTGTCCACCATTGGTAACTCTTTTGATAGTTGACACAAACAACGACT